ACAACACTGACTCCAGCACTGCTGCCACCACTTCCAAAGATAGACTCCACAAGGCTGAGCTGAGTCCAGAAGAGAAACCAAGCCAGGTTCTCAGCAGCACCACAGAAGTCCTAGCAAGCTGTTTAACCTGCATCTGCTCTCAGCATCCTCCAAGGGGCTGATAAATCACAGTGGCTTCCTGGAGCACAGCGGCTCCCAGAACAGGTCCTCCCAGAAGGCACAGCCAACACTGTCACCCTACTTAGCAGATGAAGAGTCTTGCAATGAGGGAGATCCCAGCTGACCACTTACACCGGTGTTTTGGTCACACATCATGGTAGTTTGCCCACGTAGAGAGCAGTTACACATAGGGTTGCATACAAGCGAGGTTCAGCATAGACCTTCTGCTCCATCAGACACAGTGCCCAGGAGCCTTCTCTTTTTTGAATTGGTTGTTGAAGGACTCAAGTTGCATGCCCTTGCATTTCAAGTAAACACAGCCTTTTCCTACAACCATTTCCAGGGCTGAGCAGATACTTTTCGTGGAAGTCTGAAAGGATCAGATATTTTTCCAGACTTTTTACAACTAAGTTTAGATTGATGGATCTATTTGGCTTCCTGGTGCCAGGAGTCAGAAAAATGAGAGAGGTTCCCACCCAAACTCTCCACGACGATGTACCACAGCCTTCTCTGTGGCTATGGTCTGCACGGGTAGAAGATAGTCTCTACTTGCTGTTTAGCTCAGGCTACAATTACTTGTGTTGTGATTTCCTGAAGTCAACGTGATGAGCTGTTGCCCATTGGGGAACGTGGCATTCCTCAGGCCAGGCTACAAGTGGCTGTGACGGGTATCGGGAGTTGATGCTACCCCACAACTAAGGCTCATTCTCAATCTGTCTGCAGAGAAATGCCTTGAGAACGTCCAACCACCCAGTTCCCTGCCTTGATTCACAGCGCCATCTCTTGCAGCTCCAGCCCTAACACACACCCTCCATAGACCTGAGCCTTGCTCGCCTCCTTTCCTCTTACAGCCATTCCTGTTCCCTGGTCTGCCTGACCAAGCAAACTGCCACTTGCCACGCTGACACCATCCCTCCCTTCGCTGTAGACAGGCACCTCCTCAGCTCTGTTTGCTTCATGGCTTCATGCCAGTCTCAGCTGTGGCAGATGATATTCACCTTCACCACAAGCTCGGTCCAAGCTTCATTGCTAGGCTTGACTGCCCACATCCTGGCTGTAACAATCCCAGACATGCATTTACCACCTCAGGAGCCAAAAGGTATTAACCCCTGCTTCACCAGCACTGACCAGTATCGCATGCTCCCACACAACACAGATGCAGTCACGCAGCAGCATCCAACACTCCCCTCTCCGCTGTGGGCATCTTCTTCACACACTGCCCACAAAGCAGCCTGGCTAGCAGGCAGGCATGGCACTCTTTCAAGATACTTGAAAAGGAACACCAATAAATAAAACTGAAGAAAATCAGAAGTACATCTGTAGGTGAAAACCCTTGTCTCACACCAGGAAAGTCAATACAAATGAAGATTCCGGCTCCAGAATCCAAATATTGTCACGTTGAGTAAGCAGATTTGTTTCAGAAAAGGCCCAGTCTCTGAAACCCTTACTGACTTCACCAGTGTCTCTGGGTAAAATGCAAAAATAATTACTAGTAACAGTGACATTCTAAATAGAGATTAACATTAACACAATGGCTATGTAAAATATGTAAAAACAGGAACCTTTATGAGGCATGAATGCTGCCTCTCCTCCAGCTGAAGAATGATACGTGTGGTTTTGATGCCTGCATTATTTTTTAAGAACCTTCTTTCCAAAAGAAACAAAGACTTTGCAAGTGTAGTCCTCAGCCCTGCAGCTGCCAAGTACAGGGAATTTCTTATGGATCTCAAAATGAGAATAAGGCAATTTAAGGTCCTAGAACAGACCCCACAAACAAACACCCCGTGGCAGCCCTTTTTGAAACCTTAGCCATTTGGAGTGGGAAGGGCCAGGAATCTCTTTCCTTCTTATGGAGAAGTGGAGCAATGCCTTTGGAAGGCTTTTTTTCTCCTTAAGATGCAGAAGCATGGATCTTTCTCTTGTTTGGGGGGAGCAGTCACGTACCCGCCTCAAATCTTAACAACCAGGAAATTTCTGCCTGCAAGAAGTGTCCTTCTCTCACACAATCTTCTGCAAGAATTATGTTGGTGCAGTAAGTGCTGTAAAACAAGTTTTGGCTTTCAGAGACCTGAAATAGGAAACATGACCTTGTGTTGACTTGAGTGTACTAAACTTTCCTACTGTCAAACCCATTTTTCCCTATTTTCATATGTCTGTGGAAAAAAAAAAGATAGTCTGTAAACATCTTTCTCATCATCTAGATCATACGGGTCATAAAATTCAGTCTGAAGACCACTTACATCTGATGGTTCTGCTCTCTTACACTTATAGCTTCCTCTGGTTAACTGCATATTTTCCGAAACTCAGAGGTAAGATTAAAAAAAATAATCATCACTGTTAATTATATATGATGTCCTGGAAACAGCAGCAGAAGTTAAATAGCGAAACAGAAAACAAAGAAAAAGGAAGATTCACAAATTTTACACCTTACAAGAGTTTGGATTCAACAGAAGTTTATACTTTTGATTTCTTCCTCTAGAGTTAAAAAAAGCAATTAACATTTTTAAGTACATAATTTAAAAAATAGTGTTTTATGATTGACACATTTTCAGTCAATTTCCTAAATGGCCTTAGCAAAATCAAATACAATTCCAACAGTTACAGCAGTTCAACATTTATATCAAGATATTTATATCGTAATGTTCATAAGTTATGCTCTCCACTTCCCAGAATGGCCCTCTTTCATCACATAATTGATTTAAGTGTCATTTGTGAAACGTGTTGTACTCAGACACATACCTGTTTTAGCATTCCAGCCAAATTCTCCTACGGGGCTTATACAGGGATAAGGCATTTTCTGAACAGGAATGCAGATGCAGTTTCTCATTGGAAAGACAGCCCCATTTCCAAATTAGCCCAATCAATGATAGCCTAATGAGAAGCAACATGATCTATACCACACAATTTGTTACGTAAATCCTAATGTGCTGCTAAAAGAATGGTGAAAAAATATGTTTGGCTAGAGGCAAAAATTCAACTCTCTTTCCTTCCGCTTCTTTGACTTAATGAAGAGACACACACTTAACTAATTGCTCTGGCAGGCCAGCAGGCTGTCTTTGCTTAATACCATTAGGAATTCCACAAGGTTTCAGCTTCTAATACTAAGGATCTTCAACATATGCTTTTTAAAACCGAACCTCAGGATTACTTTCCTTTTTAAAAGATGCCTTTTCTCTCACTTCCTCCCACCAGTTGCTGCATCAGGCATAACAACGCACAAATACGCAACGTGCAGTCCAAACTGGGCACTTGTTTGTCACAGGAAAACTTAATATTTACAGAGAACTCAGCTAACGAAAGGATATTCAGAGCAACTCTGAGTTCACAAATAATAGAAAACTACCTTCCCCATATGCCTGCTTCAGGCTCGCCACATATATCCATCTGAAAATTCCAGTTTCGTATTCACAACAGAAAACACAGAATCTAAACACCAAATTGGGTCATGATTTGTCCTTCTTCACACTTAATTAGATTCCTCTTTTTGTCTAGTTCAACACTCGTTCTAGATCTAGTAATCCATAACAAAGCAACAGGCAGCAAAGCATTTGAAAGATGGCTGGATTTTGTCTTGGAGTCCACTTTTTTTTTTTTAAATAATCATATAATATTTAAAGAAAAGATACTACTGCCATCATCCAACTAGTTTCCTCCCCTAACTGTTTTATGCAGTATAAAATATAGCAGAAAATGTAACTATCAGCTTCATATAAATGGCTGACACTTTCGTTAGAATAGGGGCAGGGGTGGGGGGCAACCAGATATCTAAGTGCGTAACCAGTAAGGATGTTAACATGCTCAGTCCAAAACTGCAGCTTCCCAAACATCTGCTTAGTAGCCTACTTTTCTGTAGTCAGAGATTCACTGAGCCAGAGAGGAACTGTGCATGAAGAAAGAGCCCTACAATATCGGCCTGGACATCAGCTGGAACGGTGCAGGCTCAGAATCAGATCACTCCCAACAGCTTTCCTCCCCCTCCAATGTGCGTAAAGTCTCTGATCCAGTGAACACTTAACTCTTTTAGTCAAACTGGAAGTTCTACTGATACGTTAGCAAGTGCATCACTGCTCTACAGCCTAGCTGTTAGGTATGCCTCACAGGAGAAAAAATTGATGGTTCAAACTCTTATCAAGCAGAGGTCATAAACTAAACGAACCCTCCCGTCTTACACATCACTAACCAGTGTTCCCACCTCTAGATCTGAGTAGCATTGAGTCAGCTCACAACCCTTCTCTTTCTGATATTGCTCCAAACTTGAAAGACAGCAGCAATCTTCAAGAAACGACTGCAGGATAAGAAACACTGCAAGAAAGTACCTCCAGACACAGACAGGGTGAGATGCTAAGGACCAAAGAACAGTGGAATCTAAGACAGAGCCTTGCCATCTGCACTCCCTGTTCACCTGTAAAGGCAGCTCTGTGACCAACATACTTTATGCTTGGCATGACTGTTTTTGTGATTCTTTATAGGCACTGAATGTATCTAATACATGACGCAAAGCCCTTGTACATAATTTTGGATTTCAGTACCGAGCTTGGCATCAAATTTTAGGAGGTGTGATACTCACAGTAGTGCTGTGAAGTCTGTCTTGAATTAGAGATTCTTCTATCACAACCTCCACAAGAACTAAAGATGTGGTTGCTACGGGCATGCTAGTAGATGACATGATTTTAAATGATTGGCACTTCATAGCCTCAAAGACCCCCCTGCACCTTACAAAGGAACACAGCATAGAAAATATTGCAAGGAATAAGAAAAAAGTTATGCTGGTGACCGTGTTCATGGGAAAACAATTTGTGTATCAAAAGTGAAAAGGCATCTTCTGATCAAAGTCTCTCTCATTACTGGACCATCTTGTACACAGGGTCTCCAACTTGAATCGTTCCAGTTTTGTCAACAGCAAAGTATCTTCCAAAGAGAGGGCTGGATTTGTGTATGTGTCGCTCAGACGGATCACATAAGCGGTAACTGCAAAGAGAGAGCACTTCTTTAGAATCAGTGGTAGCAAATTCTAAACATCAAAACTACAGTGATGAGAGAGAGGATATATGAATAGTGATGCCTTGTTTTGGTCACCATACTAGACTAAAAACTAAATAAATATTACAATTAAGAGAACCAAGCAGTTGAAATAGAGAAAAAAAGCCCGATTGTATTCACACGTCCGTGTATAAAACTCATACAAAAGACTTTATAAAAAGAAATGTTGCAAAGTTAGACCTTTAAATACTTTAAATACCTGTTACCCCAGACATTCACCCTAGCAGAGATGAAAGAGGCAGGGAATGTAAAGTTTGCAAGAAAGAAGAGAGAACTTCCTGAATTTTCTTACCATACAGAATTGCAGAAAGTAGAATGGAAGCCAATATACACAGACCTTTACACTGCATTATGTCCCACACATACTTCAAACCACTTTTAAAACACTAGTCTAACATCTGTTGGGATCTAGCCTAAATCCACTCTCACAGCCTAAGCAGCACTGGTATTTTTACAACCTTTTCAATGTTTCCAGGGGCTCCTTCCTGTCCAGGACCCCAGTGTCTGGGTTAACAGTTGTTAAAATACACCTGCAATGACAGACAGCACCAAATCAATAACAGCTTCTCATTATAAATCTCTATACATCTATATAAAATAACGGTCTCAGATGTTTACCTGGCACAACACACTGTCCCTTTCATCTCCACATCGCCAATAAGAATCTCCTCCCAGGTGTCCTGAGGGAAGGTAAGCATTATGCACAGATTAGTCATATCCACATGCAATCATTTTTCCAGGAGTGGCACAGTCATTCCTAGAAGAAGCGGTACCATTCCAGATGATCACCTTTACTTGCATCTTCAAAATAAGTACAATTATATTATGGTACTATTTTAATGAAAAACCCTACAGTCACTGCATTCATCCAATTCAGGACCCACTAGTAATTGTATCTGGAAAGAAAGATACACAAGTAATAAATCCCGTTCTGCAGCATGCACTTGTCCAAACCTAAAGCAAGCTTATTCTTACTGTACTTGTGATAATCTGATCTGTGACCTCTGGTAAGTCACCATTTTTGCAGAAAGGAAATTTTTAGTAGAAGAAAGTTTTCGCTTCTCATCTACACAAGCTTCCTATTGCAATCCTTCTTGGAAGACAAAAACCCATTCCCATTTTAGGAACTTCTTAGATTTGGGAAATTATCAGATCTATCCAGAGTGAATTATTTGGAAAAATGGCAATGTGACATAAAAACACTTAAAAGCCACCATCATCAGTTCACTTCATCACCAGATACCTTCCTAGATTGTTTTTTGAACTACCAGAATATCGTCAGAGATGCAGTGACAGACTGCAGTATTGCAAGGGTCGGTTTTACTCTTGTGCCAAAGGCTATAAAATATCACACTGTCAATTTACAAATTGTTCATTTGTATCACTAATTGATCAATTATAGCATGCATAGCCTTGCCTACTTTATACTTAAAGATGAGCTTTCAGTAGCAGCCTGTCATTTAAACACACTTATTTTATCCTTTGCCAAGCTAAGTAAGCATTGACAGACCTGTCTCCTCCCTCAATGTTTCACATGCACTGATGTGAGCGGAAACTGTACCTCTCTGGAATCCAGTCATAAAAATCACAGAATAGCAGCTTTCCTCATCCTTGTAGGCACCATCACACAAGGAAATTGAGTTACAAAGAAACACAACCACGCCTCCAAAAATACCTTTAAGAGAGTTATTTTACCTCCTCAAAAGCACTGCAATCTGTCACAAGAATATTTGGCCTGAAGTTCTCTATCTTAACTTTCTTTTCCATCCTGGAATTTAGATCTTCCAGTGAAGCTTCTGAGAGGATCAAGACTGGGCTACAGTCAGGATAGGCAACCTACATAAAAAAACACAAACAAATCCTAAGGCCACTGTAACAGCACGGGAGCAAAGTTACTGAACAGCAAAAGGACGGACATGTTGGAACCAGTGGTCACATATTAGCCTGACTGTTAGGCTGCTGCACTCGGGTTTTCATTTTCCTGGTAGCAGGTTAACAAGTAAAATAACATGCCCTTTCCTATTTCAGTAACCACAGCAAGTCTCATTTGTTTAAACTGTAAAATCAAACTTCCATCTACAGAATTAAACTAAAATTATATAAGCTACCACAACTTCTTACAAAATAATACTGTATGCATGTCCCAGACAGGTATTTGAGGTGTTACAGATGGAATTAAACTTAAAATGTTTTACTGATACACTAAGTTATGAAAGATACTTAAGACATTTATGGAACTGCTGAACTTACCTGGTTGGCAATAATCAACTAACTGGATTTTTCTATATAATAAACCTATCTTATCACAACACCAGAGGGAGTTTCACATACAGAACAGCAATACTAAATTGCAATTGTCCATTTGTCAGTCTAAGTTTGCCTGGAAGTGGGAGGGCTGCCATTTTAGCAAACAAGGACAATGACCAGTATTAAAAGAAAACTCCTATATATGCTAGTTCCTCATTAAAAAAAAAAAAAGAGAAATTTTGGCAAGAATTTTAGTGTATAGCCCTCCTCCTGCCCTTCTTTTATATTATCCTTCCCTCGCCCTTGTACATGCCTTTACAACCAGAAGAAGATGCGTGCTGAAGTAACTATACGAACAATTCTGCCCTCTTTTCATGCTAGGATTCCTGAATGTCACCCCTCCTAATCTGACAACCTTTTTGCTGAAACCTGGTCTTCTGTATTGGTCTCAGTATCCTTACATAATAAATGCATATGTATAAAAGTCCATAATTGAATATACCTTCTTCTCTTTGTGCAACAACAAGCAAAACACTGATGCCCTATAGATAATAACGTCACATCAGTAAGGCAAGGTACTCACAATCTGCGTTTACTTAAAAAGCTTACACAGATCAGGTACAGTTCAAACCGTCCTCACAAAAGAGAGCTGTTCAGACAAAAAGAAGGGCATCAACGGCTCCAACGATATGAAGACATCCGAGCACAGCATCTCCTTTCCCTCCCTGCATTAACTTTCTCTAATATCACCCCTTCAAGCCTCTTTCCACAGAAGGAGATGAAACCTCTGTAACCTTCTTTGGATTTTAATACCTAAGCTCACAACTATAGAGCCCTGGGTTAAGCATCGTTCCTTTAAACAAAATACAAGGTAACATAACCCGTATCAGTACACTCCTAGACCTAACAAGGGATAGGGAACGGAGGTTTTCTATGCAACACAGATTACACCATCAAAACATCTTTAAAGACGTAACGTTCTTCTATTCACTGAGGCACAAAAGGAATGCTATTCTGCAATGTAGTAGTTCCTCTTCAAGTATCAGTATCAGACCCTTTAGCTGTGAATGGTCAATAGCTTAGAACAGACTTAAAATAAAATTTAAGCAAGTCACCTCGTCATTGAAAAGGAGAATATTCATGTGGCTTAAGTACATGACCACACACCTTGCTCAGCTGGGCTGAATCACCAATGACGGAATGGGCATGTTTTGGTGGGTGGGTGGGAAATGGTTAAAAGAATGTACTTCTGAGAAAAAGAACATTCATTTACCTCATCTGTGGTTCGGAAAAGGTTTATTATGTCCTTTGACTTTCTTGGCACCATGGAGGGCTCAAAGTGCACCAGTCGATATGGCTCTGAGTTCAGGAAAGTGGTGATCCACTGAGCAACTTCATCTCCACAGTCCCTGCCTTGGATATCCAGTCCAAACACCCTGACGGATCACAAGACACATCAGCAAGTTAGTTGGAAAGCCGAAGGCTCAAGCATTCTTATTATTCAAAGGCAAACAACTTGTTTTAAAGTAGTAGCAAGATATAGTAAACAAACTGCCTGAATTATAACGAGGTGGAAGTTGGTTTCTGAATTTGACACAAGGATCATTCCCAGTGCGCAATCTCCTTATGGTCACCTTGTTTTGGAAGCTAAGTAACATGGACATGGCTGGACGATATCAGCTGGTGAAAGAATGAGCCATGAAATAGCCTTTAGGTGCCCAGAGCTAGCTGTCACATCAATGACCAGTAACAAACCCACTCATTTGCCATACTTTCAAGCAAAAAAACAGTCTACTCTTGCAGTTGCATGTGACTGCAACACCAAAAGATTTGCCCAGAAATCAACTGAAAGGTAATTAATTTCAGAAAATTAATGACAGTTTGAAAGGATGTGGTTAGTTACTGCAATTGACATTTACAAATGTTATTAACTGTTAATGTCCCCGATTGTTAAGGAAGCTTTCCTTCAGATTTTAGTGCTGTGAAAGTTTAGCCAGAGCTGAGTGAAACTCAAGCTCAAACTTAAGACACTGAGCTATTCTATAGGCTAAGAGAAGTTAAAAATTTATAATGGAAGCAAAGACCATGGTGCATAAAAAGTCACTGGCAGCAGAATACAAACAAGTTTACACAAGAAACACTTTCCTGGCAAGAAAAAGTAAACCTCATTCTTCCAATAAACTTCAACACCATCATGAATAGTTTTACCACTCTCTTCAAAGTAGCAATTTTGATCCAAATGCACTGCAGTTTCCTCTACCTCTACAACCATACTCGGGATAGCTTAAAGCATAGAGATACCCAGGCAGTCCACCTAGCCTGAGCCCAGCTCCTAGGAGCCCTCCTTTACTCATCTGGGGGAGAGATGAACCATCAGGGCGCTGACAGCAACATTCTGTGGCACAGGCTGGGACTAAATGCCATTGCCCCACACAGCATTCAACTGCCTTTCTCTTCCCTCCATTCTCTCAGTCCCTGTGTGCCTTCTGGCTAGCATGACAGAGGTGAGGGTCTTACAGCTTCCAACACTACCGTTTTCCACCCACAAAGCAGATCTATCTTAAGCAGTTGGTGATATAGGGATCCATGGAATACATCATGCAATTTAAGTATCACACCACATACAGACAAAGGGTACAAAGGACGAACACAGAGGCTTCTTAACCAGAGAGCTGTAAAAACCCTCTAGCATATTATTTGCACAAACAGAAACTGTGCCTACACAATGGCTTCAGTCCTACATTTGGCTCCCCAAAACACAGGATTTTTAAATATTCAAGTAAGATCTGGATCTGGACTCACCAGTTTTAAAGATCAGCATCTGCACAGTCTTTTGCAGTCAGACGCACTGTTGCATTGCCTTAGCTCCAAACTACTGGGCACGAGCCAGCACCAATCTGAAGGCATCGTGCTCGCCCAGTGGCAGAATAAATACAAGCCTGCGCGGAGGGCCTTGCCGGCAGAGCGTACCGTGCAGCAAGACAACTACTCCCACGCTCAAGCTGGAAGGGAAGAATCTCAGAGCAAAAGCCAAATCTTCATTTGCCTGAATATAGTACTATTGCCAAACCTCATCCTTACGAATGGCTGAATGGATCAGAAAGAATCAGCCTCGAGCTGGCAAATGGCAAATTGTTTAAGCACTGCAGAGTCATACAAAACCTCAGGATTCTTCCTGAGAAGTACACGGCAACTATGGGTATTGCTAATTTCACATCCTATGACACCACCTACAATACCAGACAACTTGGTAATTTAAAGGCCATTTACATGCATCTAACTTTTGCTTATTTGCATTCCCAAATTCTAGCAGTTTTAAAGCCAGAGAGTGCAATAGTTTATTAAGGCAAAGAAAGAAAAAAATGAAGAGAAGAACAAATCACTGAGATCTAAAATGGGAAAATCCAAGGTATTTTTTCATTACTGAAATGTATTTAGTCTATTTAAATACGTTTGTAACGGCACAACAAATTTTAGAAAAATAACATCTTGAAAACTGCATGTTTTTGTAGTGTGTGTGTCATTGGCTAACATATACACGTTATAGACAGATTTTTAAAAGACTGTTCTATTTCTCCATGAGAAATGCTATCATCTGTAACTTGCACCTGCCTTGTATAAACAGAGATACTGAGCTATGCTGATCAAGGGTTTCCACAGCAACAGATTTATGCTAAAAGCTAGCGAATGCGGTTCCTTTCCAGCACTCTCTTAATCATAGCAGCTGGTACATCAACCTTCTCTGCTACCCAAAGGAAAAGCACTTATCAGTGCTTATCTCTGTAGGGGCTAACACCATTTACAGTTACTAAAGAGTCTTACATATTCATTGACATTTTAGCAGAAAAAAGGTTTTCTGCTTCCCCCTGGCAATTTTCCAGCATGGATTTCAATACATGGATAAAAACGCTTTTGAGGTAGCACCTACAGGGAATGACCTGCTCTCTGGGGATGCCCGTCTTTCCCCTGTGACCATCGAGTGAGCCTTGGGCAACCAAGTTTTTAATTTAGGCACCTCAGTTAAATGCCTACAGACAGGGGTGAGGGAATCTAAACTCCGACATCTCGCCAATTCCAAATGGCCAGTGTGTATCCAAAAATGTTGATGCCTATACTAGTGGAGACCAAGAAATACCAACATGCATGACTGAGGCTCCGAGATGCAATTGCTCACCCAAGCAAAAATGAAAACACTAGAAGTAAACACAAATGAGTAAACATGACAGTCTACGAAGACTGAAGATCACAGTTCATTTGGCAGATGTATAATGTATGTTTCTTGAATATTGTGTCATCTTTTCCTGAGATTCGTTTTCACCAGTGTTTAGCAGATTAAAACTGGAGCTTTTGTTATGACAATCAATCCTGGCCTCCTGTGTAACACACGGCAGAGAATTTCACAGAATGGTTTGGGTTGGAAGGGACCTTTAAAGATCATCTAGTCCAACCCCCCTGCCATAGGCAGGGACATCTTCCACTACATCAGGTTGTTCAAAGCCCTGTCCAATCTGGCCTTGAACAGTTCCAATGATGGAGCGTCCGCAATTTCTCTGGGCAACCCATTCCAGTGTCTCACCACCCTCATCATAAAAAATGTCTGCCTTATGTCTAATCTAAACCTCCCCTCTTTTAGTTTAAAACCATCGCCCCTTGCCCTGTCACTACAGACCCTGGTCTGAAGTCTCCCTCCATTATACAGATGGGGAGACAGACCCCCACAGAAAAGGGGCAGAGACACCCGACTTTCACCCTCCAATTTCTGCATAAGAAAACGCAAACTATCACACAGTCTTGAAAAGCAAAACATGTACGTGAGAGGCAGTATTTAGAGAGAAGGGAGGGAACCCCCCCCTTCTTCACTACCTGCAGTTCTGCACGGGATTTTTCCTGGGCAGCTTTATAGGCAAGCACAGCTTCTCCATTTCTGGGGCTTCCAAGGTCAAGTGCCCATTTTCACAGCTGACAGAAATGAGGACCAGCCGTGGCTCCTGGCGAGCTGTAACCATGTGCCCATCTTCCTTGGTCACCAGCCAAAACCTGTAGCGTGACAGGGGACAGAAACGCACTGAACAACGTTCAAGGCCGACGCCGGGCACCGGGTACTCTCGCAGCACAACAGGCGCCTCTTCACAGGCGCTGAAGGAAACCTCGAACAAACGTGGAGGCCCGGCAGCGCGGCCTGCCCCCGGCTCGGCCTCGCCCCGCTCCCCAGCCCGCCCTCGCCGTACCTGTCCCGCAGCTCTCCGCTCCGCAGCCCCATCGGCGTCACCTGCGCCCGCCGCACCGCCACCCCCCGGCACGACTTCACCGGGTAGACGAAGAGCTTCAACACCGTCCCCCCCCGCTGCAC